CACACAACCAACGCACACAATAGGCCCTTACAATATATTTTTGCATAAATTTAGAGCCATTATAAATCTTGCTTTAATAATACCCTTGATCCTCTCGATGAATATAAAACGTATCATAAAATATACCATTTCAACATCAAATCATTTTCTCCCTCCCTAAAAAGTAAATTTTCCTCTTTTCTAAAAAAAAAAAAAAAAAAAAAAGAAAAAAAAAAAACTAAAAAACTAAAATATAAAAGTTTCCCTTGCTTTCTATCACACGTTTTCTTTCTTTTTTTTGTGTGTGTGACATTTATATTCCGATTATTATTACGACCTTAACCTTATTTCCGACCATGACAAGAATTTATGTCGAGAGAGAGATGCTCTTTGAACCACTTTTTCTCTTCTCTTCTATTCTATAATTTATCATGATCTATCTCTCTTACTCTTTACTTTCCCCTCACTTATTACCTCTTTCTCTATTTCTCTCTCTCTCTCTCTTCTCTCTCTCTCTCTCTCTTTCTCTAAAAGTGTAAAAATCCCACAATAAACGTTTTAGCATTAAATCCTCTACAAAAATAAATAATAACGACTTAAAAGGAAGAAAAAAAAAGGACAACAACAAAAACCAGAAATTACAAAAACAAAACAAAAACAGAAAATTAACAAAAAAAAAGAAAATGACAAAAACAAAACAAACAAAAGAAAACGACAAAAACAACAAAAACAGACAAAAAACAGAAAATGACAAAACAAAAACAAAAAAAAACGACAAAAAAACCAAAAAAACAAAACCAAACCACAACCCTAACCAACCCCCCCCCCCCCTCCCAACCCTTCCACCCCGACACGCCCCACACACACACCACCACCACCAACAGATGGAAGACAAGATAATGAACATGCAAAAAAAAAAAAAAAAAAAAAAAAAAAAAAAAAAAAAAAAAAAAATGGAAGAGGAAAATACGCGCAGCGATCAGACAGTCTACGAATATCATTAAATTCGTCAGCGTAAAATCTGACGCTAATTGCACGGCGTATGTGCACGGACAAGACGCCCCCTCGCCAGCATGAACATATGTCTGCAGCCTTCGCATAAAGAGCACATTTGTAAAATTACAGTGAATAAATATAATGCAATGAAATATAATAATAAAATAATCAATAATAGGTAATAGTGTAGTGGTAACTACTATAACTATAATAACAATAATGATGATGATGATGATGATAATGATGAATAATGATAATAATGATAAATTATAATTACTAATACTAATTACTACAACTAATAATAATGAATAATAATAATAATAAAATAATAATATGTATGAAAAAGTAAGTAAAATAGCTGTCTGGATTATGCATATCCTCGACATCCTAATTCCAAAACGGTTGACTAAAAATAGAAACATATAACTACTCGTAATACAAATAATAAGACGGCTCCTACTACGAATACCAAAAAAAATCCTCACATTTCATCAGACACACGCACTAACACACACACACACACACACACACACACACACACACACACACACAGACACACACACACACACACACACACACACACACACACAAGAAAAAAAAAAAAAACCCAAAAAAAAAAAAAAAACCAAAACACAAAAACACACAACACAAACAAAAAAAAAACACCACAACACAAACACAAACCTAACAACAACAACAACAAAAAATCCTTTCAACGACGCCATAAAAGCCTCAGACACCTGTTCAAGCACTCAACACACAGGGGGGAGGGGGGGGGGTAATGACAGGTTCTCGCCACCGTAAACAATAGATTAAAAAAGAGGAAAAATAACAAATAATAAAATAAATAAGATGTAAATAAATATATGAATAGATAAATGGATAAGCCACCGTAAATAGATTAAAAAAGAGGAAAAATAACAAATAATAAAATAAATAAGATGTAAATAAATATATGAATAGATAAATGGATACATGGATAAATCAGTGAATAAACAAAGAGAGAAAGAAAATGGAAGAAGAAAAAGAAAACGACAGACGGAAGCGGAGACTAAAAAAAAAACGACAACTGCTTCCGATTTTCCCCCTTCACCCTGTCATACCCCCCCCCTCCAACCTGCCATACCCCCAACCCCCCTCTCCAACCTGCCATACCCAACCCCCCCTCTCCAACCTGCCATACCCCCAACCCCCCCTCCACCCTGCCATACCCCACCCCAAGCATCCTACCCCTCTTTCACCCTGTCATAACCTAACCCCCCTTCTCCCTGTCATAACCCAACCCCAATCACCCCGTCATACCCAGCCCCCCTCCACCCTGCCATACCCCAACCCCCAATCATCCTACCCCCTCCTTCACCCTGTCCATAATCCAACCCAATCACCCCATAACCCCCCCCCCAATCACACCCGTCTACCCAGCCTCCTTCCCCCACCCCCAATCATCCTACCCCCTCCTTCACCTGTCATAATCCAACCCCCAATCACCCTGGTCATAACCTATCCCCCCCCAATCACCCCGTCATACCCAGCCCCCCTCACCCTGTCATAACCTAAGCCCTTTTTCACCCTGCCATACCCCCCCCCAATCACCCTACCATACCCTAGCCCCGCCTCCTTCCTCCTTCATAACCTACCCCCCCCTTCTCCCTGTCATAACCCAACCCCCCTTCACTCTATCATTCCCAAACGCCCTCCCTTTCACCCTTCCCTCCCCCCACCCTATCACCTTTTCTCCCTTCACCAAATCCCTGCCCCCCCTCACCCTCCTCCACACCCCTGCCCCCTTCCTACACCCCTGCCACACCCTTGCCACACCCCTTCCCCTGCCACACCCCGCCCCCCCCCTTCCCTCCCTGCCACACCCTGCCTTCCCTCCCTGCCCACCCTTCCCTCCCTGCCACCCCCCTGCCCCTTCCCTCCCTGCCACACCCCACCTCCCCCCACACCGCCTCCCCTCCCTCCCCCACACCCCTGCCCCCCCCTTCCCTCCCTGCCTCCCCCTGCCACACCCCTGCCCCCCCTTCCCTCCCTGCCATCCCTCCCTCCTGCCACACCCATTTCCCTCCCTGCCCCCCCCCCTTCCCTCCCTGCCACACCCCTGCCCCCCCTCCCCTCCCTTGCCACACCCCTGCTCATCCTCCTTCATCGACCGGCTTTCGAAAAAAAAATATCTATGCACTTCGCTCCGACTGATTCAGATAAAAAAGGAGGAAAAAAGTGGAAAAAAAAAAAATTGGAAAAAAAAGAAAAAAAAGAAAAAATATGGGAAAAGAATTAAAAATAAAAATGCATAACAAGAAAAATACATAAATAATAGGAGGCGGGAGGAGGGGAAGAGGGGAGGAGGAAGAGGAGGAGGGAGGAGGGAGAAAGAGGAAGAGGAGGATGGAGAAAGAGAAGGAGGGAGAAGAAGGAGGAGGGAGAAAGAGAAGGAGGAGGAGGAGGGAGAAGGAAAAGGAGTAGTAGTAATAGTAGTAAGGAGGAATAAGAGGAGAGAGAACAAGCAGTGCAAAAAAGAGGAAGGCTAATATACACCAAAACACGGAGACTGAAATTAAAGAAAGGAAGAGAGAGGGAGGGAGAGATAAAACAGGAAGAGGTAAGAGAGCAAACTCGAATGACAAACAATATAGAAAAAAAAATACAAAATAGAGAATGATACACCAATGGT